CACCCTCCGTCACCTGCCGCAGCACGGACGACTGAAGAAGAAGACGCCCGCGGCGCTCGAGGCGGCCCGGGCGGCCAAGGTGGCGGCGCGGGTCAAGGCGTACCGGGCATGCGTGGCCAAGGCCATGGAGAGCAGACAGGCAGGGTCGAACGATGAGGCGGCGCTCGAGACAGTGACCCGGGCGCTGGAGATGAACTCGGACCTGTACTCGCTGTGGAACTACCGGAGGGAGATGCTGATGGCCCGCATGGCCGACGGGCGGGCCGAGCCGGCCGACACTGCCGCCGTCGAGCTCGCCTTTACCGCCCGTTGCCTGCGGTCGAACCCAAAGTCGTACTGGCTCTGGCATCACAGGGTGTGGGTCATGGAGATGGACGGCTACACGCCCGACTTTGCCGAGGAGCTCCGCCTCTGCGGCCTCATGCTCGACGCCGACGATCGCAACTTCCACTGCTGGAACTACCGCCGCTACATCGCTGGCACCGCCGCCGTGCCCGACGCCGACGAGCTCGACTACACCCTCGACCGCATCAACGCAAACTTCTCAAACTACTCGGCCTGGCACTACCGCTCACACCTCCTGCCGCGCATCCACGGCCCGGACTTTGCCGCCTCGGACTCGTCCTTTGCCACCACAGAGTTTGAGCTCGTCCAGTCGGCCTTTTACACAGAGCCCGACGACCAGTCCGCCTGGCTCTACCACCGCTGGCTCCTCGGCCGATCCGCCGCCCCACCGCGCCTCACCGCCGTCATTGCCCTCCCAGGCCCGGCACCCATCCTCGCGCTCGTCTTCTCCGTCCCGGTCGCCGGCGTCGCGCCTACAAACGTCACCGTCGCCCCACTCCCGCCCACATCCCCGCCGCTGCGCTGGCGCCCCGCCCACTCGGGCCGCCTCGCCGGCGGCTTGTCGCCGGTCTGGCTCGCTACTCTCGACGCGTCGCCCGCCACACTCTCGGTCGCCGTCAACACTGGGCCGGGCATCGCCGCCAAGGACGGTTCGCCGCTGATCGACGGCGTCGCCATGAACGCCGAGCTCGAGCTGCCGGGACCGGCCACCGTCGTGCTCGAGCTCGACGCCCAGCTCGCTGCCGCTGCTGCTGCCCGTTCCGACCTGCTCGCCCGCGAGCTTGCCGCCTGCGACGAGCTTCTCGACCTCGAGCCCGATGCAAAGTGGGCGCTCCTCACCAAGGCCTTCATTCTTGAAGCTCTCGATCCGGCCTCGCCCGTCCTCGACACCCTCTACACTTGCCTCCTCGACGTCGATCCCTATCGCGCCGGTTTTTACCGCGACGCGCTCTCGCGCCGTACCCTCGACGCCGCACTCGCCGATCATGACTCCGCATCGCTCTCGTTTGCTCTTCCTGCCGCCGGACTGGTCGCCCTTGGCCCGCGGACACACGCCCTCGCCTCCGCCACCGCCCTCGACTTTTCTGGCAACCCGCTGCGCTGCCTTGCCGGTGCAGAGGCTTTTGTCTCGGCCACCGCCCTCGATCTCTCGTCGTGTGGCCTCCGCGAGCTCGGCACACACCTCGCCGACCTTCCGGTCCTCGCCTCGCTCAACCTCGCCAACAACGCACTCCATCCCGACCCGGCCGTCGCGTTTGCCGGTCTTGCAGGCTCGCCGCTCGCTGCTTCACTCACTGCCCTCGACCTCTCGGGCAACGACGGGTACGACACGCCGGCTGCCGCCGTCGCCGTCGCCGCCATCTTTCCGCGCCTTGCCCACTGATGGCGCGCCTCACAGCTCATCACCGTGCCCGACTGGAAGGTCGGCTCCGGTGTGCCGCGGCCCGCCGTCGGCCTCCCACCGCTTCCGGCGAGCCTCGGCCATCATGCCGGCCACCGCCGCCTCAATGGCCTCAAACGGCTCACCCGGCTCGAACCGGCCCTCGAGTCTCCCGTCGCCGTTGACGAGAAAGACCGTAAAGTTCCACGCAATGTCCTCCCCGCCCGACTCGGCCACCAGCCACTTGAACACCGGATGCGCCCGTGCCCCATTGACCTCGATCTTGTCCGCAAGAGGAAAGGTGACTCGGTACGCCGCCGCCATCTCTGCACGAATCGCGGATGAGCTCCGCGGCTCCTGCCCGCCAAACTCGTTCGATGGAAAGCCGATGATCCTCAGCTGCGGCGCCGCACGCGCAAGACGGACCAGCCGCGTGTACATGTATTCGGTCAGTCCGCATTCGGACGCCACGTTGACCACAAGCACTGGCGAGCCGGCGTACGAGCTCAGCAGCACCTCGCGTCCGTTCATGGCAAAGCTCCCCGCCGCAAACAACCCACCGTCGTTGTCGTCGCCACTGCTCGCCGTCGCCGTCACCGCTGTGGCACACACTGCCATCAACATCGCCATAGTCACAAGCACCCTTCTCGTTCCCATACGTCCGCAAGCCATGAGCTGCCCAAGAGTTGCGTCTGTCGTCGTCGTTGGCCAACCGAGTGGCGAACATGCTCTTCCACTCATCATCATCCTATGCCGGGTCAAAAATTTACTCTCACATCCCGCCCCACCAATCTCTCCTTTCCGGACTCCCTCCCCCCCCCTCCTTCCCCCCCTCCGCACACACACACACACACATACACACACACATCAAAACACATCCATATCTGTTTCTCTCTCCCCCCCTCTTCACTTGCTGGAAATTTACCTCACGCCCGCGTCCCCATCTCCAACATTCGTCACAGCCACACATCCCGAGCTCAGCTGCAGATCGCACATATTTACCCAAAGAGCGCACGCAGCGAGTCGCCGACCGACACGTCGTCGCCTCTGTCGTCGTCGCCACCGCGCCGGGGCTTGGAGACAACAAACGCGGCCTGCTTGCGCTCGTTGCGCTCGCTGCGATCCCGCCGCGGAGCTCCGGCGCTCCCGCTCCGCCCAAACGCGTTGTTGATGCCGAGGATGGGCGACAGGAGCTGGCGGACGAGCCGTCGGAGGTGCTTCTCCGATCGCGTGGCCAGGAGCGTCTCCTCAAAGGCCACGACGCCGGCATCGTCCATGCCCGGGATCTGGACGACAACCGAGCGGACACGGTCCGGAGCTACCGGGCCGACCGCCATGTATGCGTTGGCCACGACATTGACGAGGAGGCCCTCGGCATTGGCGTCGACGCCGTTGGCCAGCGCTTGGATGGCCCCGGTGAGCATCTCGGTCCCCACCAACGCCGCACCAAGCTCCGAGTGCGTCGCCAGCAGCGGCACAAGCCGCAGGCACACATCGGCAGCCTCGGCAATGCTCGGCACGTCGCCCCACGACATCAGCGCCAGTGCGCTGCCAGCCACAGCAGAGAGCAGCGCTTCGGACGTGAAAAGCAGCCGCGCCGTCAGCGGCGGCAGCGACGCCCGCAGCTTCTGCGCCACAGCCTCGGCGTCGACCGGTTCCGAGCTGCTGGAGCGGTCCGAGCCGCTGAGCGCGTGCATGCCGTACCCGTTGGCGCGGGTGAGGCCTGCGCCGGCCACCACTGCCACCCGCCCCAGAAAGTGCGCCAGCGCCCGCGTCCCGTCGCACAGCGCCCGCGCCTCGGCAACCTCGACCACGTCCGCCGCGCCCGACCCGCCCTCTGCCGCTGTCACCCACCCGGCAGCAAGCACGCTGTGCAGGCTTGCGAGAAGCGCCACTAGTGCATTCGACCCACACAGCTCGTCGAGCACCGCATCGCTGACAGAGCCCAACATCGGGCAGACAAACCCGTCCAGCAGCGGCTTGATGTGCTGGACTGAGAGTGCGCCGAGCGAGGCCAGCACGCACCGCTCCAGCACCTCGGATGGCAACGCCACGCTCGCCAGGTACCGCCCGCCGTGTAGCGAGAACGCCGTCGCCAGCGCCTCGTACGCCTGCCGCCGTGCAGAGCCAAGCATGCCCCGCAGCGACACCAGCTCGGACTCGGCCTCGCCCAGCTCCGGGTACCGCGCCGACGGCGGACCAACGCCCAGCACCGCGTCGTACGGCGCCGGCACCCGCGCCCGCTCGTCCCACACCCCGTGGACCGCCGCCAGAAACGCCATCAGGCCCTCGAGGTACGACGCCACAAGGTGCGCCACAAGCGTGCCCACAGACCCGTGCTTGACCACCGCCGCCGCGAGGTGCACAAACGCCCATAGCTGCGACCGAAAGCTCCCGTGTGCCTCGCTGAACAGCATCCCACCCGCCTCGTCGAGTCCGCTCCCGTCGAGCCCGATCGCCGCCACAAGCGACCTGCCCGAGCTCAGCCCCGGCACAATGATCCCGTCGATGTCGAGTGTTGAGGTCACAGGCGCAAGTACTTGCTCCAGCAGCGCACCCTTGGTCGCTTCGTCCGGCACGTGCGAGGTCATCACAAGCAGTGCCTCCACCAGCAGCATCCGCACCATCGACGACAGCGCCCCCGCACCTGCAGCTCCTGGTATGCCTCCAACAGGCCAGGCAGCGCTTCCGCAAGCACAGGCCCGAGACTCGACGCGAGCTTAATGAGCGACGACGAGGCTTTCTTCGAAGCAGCCCGGAGCGACTCGCCGTACCGCGCCACCGCGCCGTCACTTAGCCCTGCAGCCGCAAGCGCAGCCTTGCCGCTCTCGCCGTCGAGCGCCACGTACGAGAGCAGGACGCCCAGCACTGCCGAGAGCCGGTCAGGGAACTCACGGAGGAACGGCGCAAAGGCCACCAGCATGTGCACATGCCGCGACATCAGTCCTGGATCCGCCGTCGGCGCCCCGAGCTCGCCCAGCTCGAGCTGCAGAAGCATCTCGAGCATGCCGTCAAGCTCGCCGAGAAGCTCACCTTTGGCCTCGTACAGCTCGTCGAACCGGTTGACCCCGTCCGGCAGCAGCGCCGCCTTTCGCGCCGCCGCCGTCTCGGCCGCCTGGTCCGCAAGCGACTCGGTCGGCGCGTTGGCGAGCCACGCCGGGACCTGTGCTACCTCGTCGATGACCGACGCCACAAGCAGCGAGAGCGCCTCAAACGTGACAAACACAGGTGACCAGGTCGACGCAAAGCTCGCGTCCGGCGACGCCCCGTATCCGTCCTCGCCTAACCCGCGCAGCGTCTCCCGCACAAACGTCGCCACAAACGCCACCGCGCCCGGCCGGTGCATCCGCGTCAGCTCGCGCACCATCCGCAGCGCCAGCGACCGCTGCCGCCCGGCGGCAACCGTCCACTCCGCCGTCGTCAGCCCGACAGCCCGCGACGCCTCGCCAAACGCGCCCTCATCCAGCTCCGGATCGCCGACCTTGCGCACCCGCGCTGCTGCAATGTGCCACAGCGTCGCGTACAGGTCTGACCTCGCAAGCTCGTCCGTCGCCTTGGGCACCACACGCGACGCCACAACCTCACACCAGAACGGAAGCACCTCGGTCGAGACGCTCACAGCAGGATGCGCCGAAGCTACCACCATGACCTCCAGAAACGGACCAAACGCGCTGTCGAGCCCCTCTGGTGGCCGCTCGCTCGCCACAAACTCGAGCATGAGCGTCCCGAGATCAACAAGGACCTCGGCCACCCCGCGCGCGTGCGAAGCCTCGGCGTGCGACTCGACGCCGCGGCTCCCGTCCACTGCCCCGCCAAACGCTTCGAGGCACTCGAGCATGGCCAGATACGGCACCTGCTCAGCCAGCCGCAGCGTCCGCCGCCGCACAAGCATGTTCTCCAGCACCGCCCGCGTGTGCTCCGCCACAGCAGGCTCGGCGAGGAGCGACGCCGCGAGGCCAAGAAAGTTGGCTTCAAACAGGATCGGCAGCGGCGCCCACTCGGCCACCGACGCCATGGCCTGCAGCCCGGCCTTGACCACCTCGCGCCGCGCGCTGTGCGCCGCGTTGCTCGCCACGCTGCTCGTCGCCTCCACAAGCATCGACGCCAGCGGCTCGGCCGCACTCACCATCGCGTCCATCACCGCCCGCCGCGGCGGAGGCTCCACCCACCCGCGCCCAGAGCCAGCAGTCCCGACTCCGAGCGCAGCCTCCGAGAGCGAGCGGAGTGCGAGGAAGCCGAGCGGCGAGGCGCAGTCATTGCCGGTCGCCAGCTCGGCCACATCGCTGATCACGCTCTCCACGCCATGCCTCAGCGAGACAGCAACCAGCGCGTCCGCCACCTTTTCCTCCACCACCGCCGGCACGTGCCCATCGCCGCTACGCGCCGCCGCCGTCGCCGCCGCCAGCCCGAGAACCTCTCTGGTCATCTCGGCCTGGACCTCGCCCGGGTACATGCCCCAATGGCTGCGGAGGGCCCGGATGTAAAAGTCGATACCGCCAACAGTCAGCGCCAGCTCACCGTCGCCTCCGACCGGGTGGTCGCCAAGGAGTGCCCGTCCGGCAGCGAGGCATGGCCCCGCCTCACTCCGCGCCGCTTCGATGCTCGCCTCGCCCGCCCGTCGCACCGCCTCCTCCGTCTGCGGGTCCAGCACACACAGCACGCTCTGCGCAACGTTCATCTCCTTTGGCCCCTCCGCACGCCACGCCTCCTCTACACCCACTGCTCCTGCGAGTCAGGTGTGTGCCTTTCCCCCGTCCCCCTCCCCCCTCCGCCCTCGCCCCACCCACGCTCCCCCTGTCTGGCGCTCTCTTGCGAGATGTCGCGCCCATTCACCACTTTGCCCACTCGACCGAAAAAGGTCGTGGTTCTCCCCCGTCTCGGTGCTTGAGATAAAATTGTATAAAATATATCCCCCCACCCGTCACCCGCCACCCGTCACCCTTCCACCCGCCCCACCCTCTCCCCACCACATCATCATCTCACACCACTCCTCTTCCACCCATGGCCTCTCGCCGACGGATCTCCTTCTGCCGCAACGCCGGAAAGAACCGCGGCGTGGCATGCTCGACCGTCGTTATTCCTCCGCTTTGGCCCGCCCTCGTCAAGGCTGCCATCTCCAAGCTCAAGCTTCCGGCACGGGCGGCGGCCTCGGTTCGCATCTTTCTTTTCGACTCGGGTGACGAGCTCTTCTCCGATTCGCCGCAGCGTCACCTTGACGCCGTCCTCGTCGATGGCTCACTCGTGTGCGTCTCTGCCAACGGCGCCGACTTTATGCACTCGACATCAAGTCACCTCGCCCATGCCCGCTCGCTTGATCTCCCGCTTCCGCCGCTGGCCGCTACCAACCCGCTGCCGTCTCCCATCGCCAACCCGTCGCCCGTCGCCAACCCCGATCCCAAACCCAAGAGCTGCCTCGCCACTTCGCTTCCTCCTCTTTCAGCATTGGAGCCGTACGCTCTCTCGGGCGCCTACCCCAGCCTTGAAGGCGACGTACGGAGCCGAATGGCTGCAGCGCTTGCCGGCGCAGACTGCTTCGTCACTCGCGAGATCGACGTCGCGCCCGACGCTGCCTACATCGCCTACGACTACAAGAACGTGGCATCAATGGCCGATGCCTTCCCACCGCTTGATGATCTCACTGGCTGCAAGCGAAGCGAGCGCGCAGCCGAGGCCTGGCGCCGGGCCGCCCGCCGCGAGGCTCGCGGCCTCATCGTCGACGCCCGCTCTGGCGCCGTCCTCGCCCGCCGCTTCCACAAGTTCTTCAACATCGACGAGCTCGCAGAAACCGCTTTTGACCTTGTCGCCGACGCCGTCGCCCGTGCCCTCGCTGACGGCCTCCCAGTCCTGGTCTCCGAAAAGCTCGACGGCTCGCTCGCCTCGCCCATCGTTCTCGGCTCGACTGTCGTCTGGGCCACCCGCGGCCTGCCTTCGCTGACCGTTGCCGCCCATGCCGCCGCTGTGCCCGGCTATGATGCCGCCGCTCTTCATGCTGCTGCTGTCCACGGTGTGACCCTGCTCTTCGAGTGGTGCGCTGGCTCGCCGGGCGTCATCGCCCACCCGCCCTCTACCGCCGCCCTCGTCCTCCTTGCCGCGCGAGACAACGTTTCCGGCGGCTACATGGATCGAGAATGGCTCGAGGACCTGGCTGCGAGCTACAACCTTCCGATTACCCAGCTGCTCATGGATGATGCTACCGTTCGCTCCTTGGGTGGTCTTTCCGGCGTCATCGATGCTCTCGCCCCGCTTGTCGGCACCGAAGGCGGTGTCCTCACCATCGGCACCGGTACTCGCGCGGCGCTGTATAAGATCAAAACCGAGTGGTACGTCGCCCTCGCGCGTGCTGCCAAGCGCGGCGGCGGCAAGCCGTGCTTGCTCCTTGCCGAGCTGCTCAAGCTCCGCCCGACCCTCATCGGCGCGCCGGCTGCCGCCCTCTGGGCCTCGGCCATCGACGCCGCTCACGCACCCGACGATACCCTTGCTCTCCTGGCCAGCCTCTTGCGCCGCAGTCATCTCGACACCGCAGAGCGTGCCAGGCAGCGCGCGGTGCTCGAGCGTTTCTTTGCCCTTGCAGCTTCCCGTCTCGCCGCTCTTAATGCTGCCTGGATCGCCTGGGCTGCCGCCGTCTCGCCACGCATTGGCAGCGCAAAGGCCAACATGCGCGCGGCGCTTGCAGCAGGCCGCGCCTCAGCCCTTGCTCCATCCGAGACCATGGTTGCCGCCTACATCAAGGGCGATGCCATTCGCGGCTTTGATCTCCTCTGTGCATCGCTCGCCTCGGCCCCGGTCGATGACCTCGAGTCCTGGCTCGGGCTGGCCTGGGACGCCTCTTTGGCCATGCTCGCCGCCTCGGATCGGGCATTCTTCGAGCCTGGACCGAGTGCCACCGCATCGTTGGCCGCTACCACCGCAGACCTTACCTTTGTATCCGCGGCCGATCTCTTGCCGTCTAGCCTTGTCCCCATCTCCCGCAGGACCCGCAAGCACCTGCTCAACACCTACCTTCCACGCAAGATCGCTGCCTACCTCGGCCTTCCGGTCCGGTCCGTCGGCGACGCCACGCGTCTCGCTGTCGAGCCGGGCTACGCCCCGTCGACTGGTGCCATCAAGGGCCTCTGGGAAAAGTACTGCAAGGACGGCTCGCGCGAGCTCCGAATCGATCTCCTCCCGCCCGCTGCTGCCGTCTCGGCCTTCTCGGGCTCGGCTGCTCTCGCCCACTGGCGCGTCTGCGCCACCGACGCCGCATCAGGTGCTACTCGTGCCATCGCTGCCTGCCTTGTCCCGGTTGGCTCTTCCATCACTCTCCGCCAGCTCACCACCGGTATCGAGGCATCCATCGACCGCGGAGTTGCTATCCGACTCGCTGTCGAGTCCGACAAGGCTGACCTGCTTGCCGCATCGAGCTCAATTCGCTCGCCATCAGGCCCCCACCGGTCTTCTGCGACCTCGACGGCGTACTCGCTGACTTTGAGGCTGGCGTCCGTGCCCTCTCGCGCGGCATGAGCTCGGCAGAGCTCGGTCCGGCCAAGATGTGGAAACTCATCGGCTCGAGCGCGGGCTTTTTTGGCTCACTCGCTCTGACAGACGGCGCTGCCATCCTGTGGAAGTCCCTTCTCGACCTGCGTGCTGCCGGTGCCATCGCTTCGCTCCACATCCTCACTGCTGTGCCTCACGGCAAAATCGGGAAGCAGGCCCGCAAGAAAAAGCGAGCCTGGTGCAAGGCCCATCTCGGCCTACCCGCTGACCGTGTGCTCTTTGCTGAGGATTCGGACAAGTCTCCGTTTGCGATCCCTGGCGCCGTCCTCATCGATGACTCGCTCAAGCATCGCACCCCTGGATCGCCCGCGGCGGGGTCTTTGTCCACCATTCCACACCACAGCGCTCTGCCTACGAGCTGAAGCTTCTTGTCGGCGCTGTTGATGCCCCTAGCCTTCCAACCCTGTCTCTTCCACCATCGCCAGCTCCTCCACCGGCAACCTGGGGCATCGCCGGTCTCGTCGACGCACTCGCAGTGCCGGACCTACGCGCGGTTGCTCTTCAGCTCTGGCCGGGCGGCGGACGCACAAGCCCGCTTGTTCTAGGCCTTGCCCTCGAGACACCCAACGCCCCGCCCCGCTCCTGGGCCATCGACCTCCTCACCTTTACCCTTCTTCCGCCCGACCTCGTCGCCGCTCTCTGCAGCCTCATCACTGACTCGCCGCACCTCGTCAAGGCCAGCTGCAATCTCGGCACAGTCATCACGCGAATGGCTGCCACGCCCGGACTTGACATCCGTGTCATCACTGCAGGCCGCGACATTGACGCCGCTCTGGCCACCCTGCCCGACTCTGCTCCGCTTCGCGCGTTTTGCGCGCCCGACGCCCATGACGATCTGGACTGGTGCGCCCGTCCTCTGCCTCCCGCTTGTCTCGACGCTGCCGCCACATCCCTCACCAGCCTTCTTGCTGTCTCGAACGCATTGCCAGAGCCTCTCGCTCGCATCTACACTCACCGCCACGAGTGTCATGCATCGCCGCGCGCGCTCGCCCGCTACCCCCGATCCACCGCCCCGGCGCCCCCAGGTGTGATCACTGCTCTGCCACTGCCGACCGACGCTGCTGTCATCTACACAGCGATCTTTGTCTCGGAGAAGGACGCGGACGCCCTGTGGCATGCGGCGCTTCTTGGCCTTGGCCTCAGCCCTGACGCGAGCAGCTGTAATCTTCTTCGCCCGCTCGCTCCGCCGCACATCACCCTTGCTCACCGCCCCGCTAACGATCTCCTCGCCGAGCTCATTCCACTCACCGGCGCCTCCATTGAGTTTGCGGCTGCGTCGTTTGCCTATGTACCGGACGCTGGCCTTGTTGCCCTCGTCGACCTGCCTGCTCGCATGCCGCTTGCGCACGGCCAGGTTGCCCATCTCACACTCGGTATGGCTTCGGGAAGAGCGCCAGCGATCGGGCTTGACGTTGCTGGTTGCGCTGGTGCACAGCGCGCAGACGTTCCACCAACCCTTGCGAGACTCGTCGGCCATGTCGGGCACACAATCACTGGCAGCGACACGCACCATGCCGGCGCAGTGCCGGCCAGCCTTTCATGGCATGCACTCTCTGACGCCATCGCTTCCATCGGCCTTCCTACGCGCCTCCGCCGTGATCTTGCCACGCTTCTCGAGGCCGGCCTTCCGGGCGAGAAACTCAAACTCAAGGCCGGCACCACCACAGCCGACCAGCGCAAGATCATTCACGAGCTTGCGGAAAGCTACGGCTTCTCTACGCACGCCGAAGGCAAGAAGGCCTCGCGTAAGCTCACGGTCACCATCACGCGACCGTACGCGGCCTGGCGCGACGATGCCGGGAAAGCACCACCGGCACCGTCGCCGCTCCATGTGGCCACTCCATCTCACGTCATCGAACATGTGCTGGATCCTCTGGGCAAGGCCACGCGCAAAGTTCTCCTCGTCCGCGGCTTGCCCGGTACCGGCAAGTCGACGCTCATCACCGAGATCGTAGCTCAGCTCGGACGTGCCGGCGACGAGATTTCGGTCGTCTCGGCAGATGCTTACTTTGAGGCCGGTGCCGGCAAGCTGACCGCCAAGAAGCGCAAGGGCATGCTGCCTCACGAGGTCTACGCCGCCGTCTTTGACACCAGCCTCCTCCCACTCGCCCACGCCGCGTGCCAGACAGCCTTTAATGATGCTCTTGCCACCGACGTCGGCTTGGTCATTGTCGACAACACATCGGTCACGCTTGCAAGCCTGGCGCCCTACCTAGATTCGGCCACCAAGGCCGGCTACGCCGTCGGCATCCTCGAGCTGGTCACTACCGGCGCCGATCTCGCGCGTCTTCGTTCCCGCGGCGTCCACAATCTTCCCATGTCTGCGCTCGTCTCCATGCTTGCCGCCTTTGAGCCGAGCCCGTCAGCAGTCTGCATGCGCCCGCCTGGCCTTGACGACCTCAACGCCAGCGAGTAAACACCGAGAGCTCCACCGGAGTCCACTTGCCTGTGAGCCCGCTACTTCATCACTTGAACACGTACAGCATGAGGATGATGGCGGCGAGGACGCCAAAGACGCCGATGACAGCCAGCGGGACCCACCAGTCGGCGTCAGAAAAGTAGACGTTGATGACGAGCTCGGCGAGCGTGAGCATGCCAAGGACAACCGCGAGGACGTCGAGCCGTTTCTGGGTGTTGCGCGACGAGACGTCCGAGTAGTAGGTGTGCAGGTCGCCGATAGAACTGGCAAGCGACGAGTTGAGCACGTCGAGCCCGACGGTAGCTGACCAGATCGCGAACAGCTCCTTCATCGACCGGGTCTTGAAGATCGACCGCTGCGAGTAGCGCGCCTTGAACTCCAGCACCGAGCCGTGGATCTCAGCGAGCTCGTCGAGGCAGCTTGTCTTTCGTCGCGCGAGCATCAGCTCAGAGAGCTGCTCCCCGAGCGATTGCAGATACGTCCGCTGGTAGAGAAGCGGTTCGATGAGCGCCTTGGTATACCGCTGAGTGCCCTTCCAGCCCTTGGCCAGCATGGCCGCCGAGTCGCAGCCTGGCGCGCCCACCACCACCGCAGCTCCACCGTTGTGCGAGAACACAATGTGCGAGCCGCCTTCGGCCTCGGTCAGGAACCGCCCGTACCCATTCTTCTCGGTGAACTCCTCGATGAACGACTCGTCGACTCGCGTCAGCAGCCGCGTCACCGTCGCCAGATGGTACGCTACCTTGCGCCGCAGCGCAAAGTCGTTGGCCTCCTCTGGCAGCGACGCCAGTACCGTGGTGTAAGTGAAGAGCCGATCGAGGCCACCGGCCGCTGTCCACGCCCCGCGTCCAAGCGTTGCGTTGAGCGCCGACGACACGAGGTCGCGCGAGGCAAACGCGACCGGTGCCTCAGGCCCGACAGTCGAGACCCGCGGCGTGCCAAAGAGCCCGCTGCCGCCACCCGACGCCCGCCTCCGCTGCCGCCGCTGCGGCGAGTGCTCTTGATGCGGCGTGACAAAGACGTTGTCGGCCTCGGTCAGCCGCCGCAGCACGTTGATCAGTACAATGGTTTCGTTGATCTCAACACGCTCGTCGGACGCAACCGAAAACATGAGAAGGCCGACCGACTTGGAGTAGAGCTGCACCTCCACGCTCACCAGCTCGGCGGAAACACCTCCTGCAATGTGGAGGGCCACCGGCAGCGACCACGCCTCGGTCCCCACCCGGTCTGCCACTACGCGCGCATCCGCGTACCCCAGCTCGAGCGCAGCGAGCCGGCGCACCAGGAGCATCTCTTCAAACTCCATATCCTTGTTCCGGGCAGACTCGCCAGGCTGCCACTGATCGAGCGGGGCACCGACAGCAGCGCCCACAAGCGTGTTCGTTGCCGACACAAATCGTTGCAGCGTCGTGCCCACCCCGCTGCCCATTCCCTTGGCCTCCAACGCCTCATCACCGTAGTTGAACGGAAAGGCAAAGACAGTCTCCATCCTCATCGCCATCGGCTCCTTGCTCTCTGCTCCAACGTCCACCTCGATCGTCACGCTCCGCTCGCGCACCTCGCGCGCCACCGACTGCGACCGCGACCGCGACCGCGACCGCGACTGTGACCGCGACCGGCTGTGCGAATCAGCAGGCGATGGGCCGGCCGCCTCGGTATGGCTGTCAAAGGCAAAGACCGACGACGACGCGCCGCGAGTGACACGCCGAGGCGATCCCCCGCGCGACTGCATCGTCTCCACCGGCGGCGGCGACGACGATGGCGGTGACATGTCAGGCCGCCCGCGAGCCGACCGACGCGGCGATGGCAAGACGTTGGCCAGCGCAACGGCAGACTCTGTGGGCGAGGCGGGAATCCGGACAGTCCGATTGCGCAAGACTCTGCGTCTCAGCAGCATCGACTCCATTGGCATTGTGACACAGAACGTGGGTGCCTCACTTGCCTCAGTGTCTCTTGCCTGTGACGGTCACTGACAGGAGGAGGGGGTTGGTTGGTTGGTACGGCTTTGTTCGCGGCCTGCCCTTGTCCTGCCTTGGTCGGTCTCGCGTCTGCACTTGTTGCTCAACACGCAGCTCGACACGTTGCTCAACAAGTGGTGCTTGCTTGGCACTCGCGGCCACAGTCTTCTGGATGTAGCACACACACACACACACACACACTCTCTCTCTCTCTATCTGCCCACCTAGGACACTTGAGGAGAAGTGTATGTGTGCAACATGCCTATACCCCCCCCCCCCCCCCTCCCCCCTCCTCCCCTCCCTCCAACTGCAGCGGCGTGTCGCTAAGCGGGCGATCCGAACCATCACCGCTTTCGGTCCTCTCATCGCACTGACCCCACCGCCTACGCTGGCTCCCGCTTCATTTACGATGAGCAACTATGTGAGGCGGAGCTGGGCAGGATGCGGTCGTGGCGGGCCGTGGGTGCCCATGCTCACACCGGATCGTGCTGTCGAGCTTGACTCGGAGGCTGTTGCTCCCGCGGGAATGGTCCGGCCGTGCGCAGCTCGCCGTTGGACACCGATAAAGTCGCCGACGGCTAGCTTGCTCAGCTCGCTCAGCAACTCATCAGCACTCGGCCGAAGCTGGGCATTTTCTAGCCAGCACCGCTGGATGAGGCTCCGCAGCGACTCGGAGAAGACAAGATGCTCATCGAGCACCGGCCGTTTTCCGTCGACAATGTCCATCGCCGCTTCGAGCGACGAGCTCTCGTCGCCAAAGGCGGGAAAGCCGGTTACGAGCTCGTATATGATGGTGCCCGCCACAAAGATGTCGCCCTGTTGCGAGCCGGCCACCCCACGAAGCGCCTCAGGCGACATGTACCGCACAACCGGCACTTGCGTCACCGTCCCCAGGTTAGTCCGCACCGCCTCTAGCCCAAAGTCGACCAGCGTCACCGCCAGCCGCCGCGACGCTGCCTCGCCCAAGCCGCGGCCCTCGAGCATGATGTTCGACGGGCGGAGCGCGCCGTGCCCGCGGCCCGACGCCGCATGCAGTGCTGCAAGACCCGACAGTATCGAGACACATACATCGCGCACCCGCTGTGTTGTCACAGATGAGATCGAGAGCGTCAGCGCATCCGCTAGCGAGCCCTGCTCAAACCGCGGCGTCACAATTGCCATGTACGGTGCCTCTACACACACCGCAATCGGCCCCATCACGCCGCCCACCTGCGTCGCCGCTGCCTCCACACACACTGCCGCAAACACCACCAGCTCCGATGCCGAGTACGTCTGCCGCGCGAGAACCTTGACGACTACAGGGTGCGTGAGCTCCTCATCGTCGCCGTACGGAAGCTCGGCCTTGTGCGAAACGCCTAGTGAGCTCTGCCATACTTCGCCACCTTGCTCCACCATCGCTGCCACTTCGCTCGTCGTCAGCAGGTGCAGCGCCGTCACGCCGGCTGTCACCTCGCGAAGCATCGCTCGCGACTGCTCCTGCACGCCAAGCGTTCCTGCAGATGCAACCCGTTCAGCAATGCTTGTGCTCTCTCGCTCTTCGCCGCTAAGGCTTGACGATGACGATGACAGTTCCGACGAAAGCGCCTCGCTGGCCGCACCAGCCGACATGGCCCTGCCCCGCCGTCTCGCTCCTTTGCCGAGCGTCCCATCTCTTGCGACAGCGTCAGCGTCGAGCTCAACAGGCGCCTCTCCGACTCGCAGCAGCTGCCACACGCCAGGCTGGCCGACCTTGTGCAGCGTGACATGGACGTCACCCTTGAGCACAGATGCCAGCTCGCCGACCGCAAACACTCCGGTTGCGCTCGATGGGGCGTGCCCATTACCCGTGTGCCGAGTGAGATTCTCGTTGCGGTATGGGCCAAACATGGCTCGCCAGCTGGTGCGCATGGCGCTCATGGCGGGCCCGGCAAGGGTCCGCCGCCCTGCGTCGACGTCGATCGCCTCTAGCTCGGCATGCGTCGCCATCACTGTCACCGGGCCCGAAGACAGCTCCAACTCGCGGATAAACCGCGCAAAGTCAATTACCGACTGCCGCGTCTCCATGACTGCTGTCACCCACCCCAAGCCCCACTCAAACACTGTGCCGCCCGTCCGCTTGGCCAGCTCCGGGAGGCCGTGGTGGAACGCCGTCAGGCGCGCGGTCTCGGCCTTACTTCCGCAGAGCAAGCCCCGGAGCGCACCCAGAAGCTCGCAGTGGACCACTGTTGTTCGGCCTACCACCGCCGCCATGCATCGGGGGAGAATGACATGGCTCTCGCTGTAAAGCGCACCTAGCGCATGCGCCGCAACCACAAACTCCATCCGCGCTTCGGGCTCGGGCCGCCACAACTCGACCATGACGCTGCGGATGTCATCAAAAACAACCGGCACCTCGCCCACGTTGGGCCGCCTCTCGTTGCGCACCACATCAAGCGCCGCCGCAAGCGGATTCTCCGCCCAGTACACGTCGCGCCGTGTCGTCAGCTCCCACAGTACAATGCCAAGCGCATACGCATCCGCCGCACGCGACAACCCATTCGCCCCGAGCTGGAGCACCTCGGGCGCTAGCCAGTACATCGACTCAGCAGACGGCAGCTCTTTGGCCACATTCATCTCTCCCTCGGTTACAGAGCCGAACATTTGGCTCGTCGAGCCAGCCGAGAGCGAGCCCTCCAGCACCGCTGCCATCAACCTCGGTCCATGGCCGGTCGACATGTACGTGCTCGACAAGCCGAAGCCAGACGACGACGCCACCAGGCGCCCAGACTCGACAAGGTGCGTCCGATCAAGCGCATTCCGCGCCGAGGTCGAGCCGGTCCGGAGGAGCGGAAAGCCAAAGTCACAGAGCTTCGGCTGCCACCCGTTGTCGAGTCGGATGCTGAGCGACGAGAGGCTGCCATGCGTCACGCCGTGCTCCACCAAGTACGCCATGCCCTCGCACAGCTTGTGTGCCCACATAAAAATGACACTCGAGTCGAGCGCAATGTGCCGCGTGTGAAGCACATTGTACAGCGAGCCGCGCGGCACAAACTCGTTGACAAGGACCGGCGGCGAGCGCGCCAAGCCGAGCACCGCCGACACGTTCGGGTGCGAGAGATGCATGACGTGCTCCATCTCGTCTGCCAGCGCCGCCCAGTTAACATTGAACTCGCGTCGGAAGCTTCCGTGGGTCGGAAAGTTACTCAAGTGCTTGACCACGACAGCCTTGCCTTGCCACGCGCCCATGTACTCCATGCCAAACACACCAAGCCCAACAACGCCCTTGACATCCAACTCGTCAAACGGAATTGCCTTGTCGCCCAGCGGCGCAACGTCTGTCCGCCGGAACCGCCGCCGCACCGCCAGCACACCAACCGCAATCGCCACCACTGCGCACGCCACCACCGCTGTCGACACGCCGAGTGCAACCTTGAGCGAATCGTCATCCGCGCCCAAGTAGCTCTGGGCGCTCGATGCTGTCTTGTACTCGGCCTGGGCCACCGTCGACTCGTAGAGTGCAAACGCAACCGCAATGGCCCGGACCGTCGTCACCTCGCCGCGCACCCGAAACGGCCCGCGGTACTTGGCCGACCTCGGCGTCGGCATACTCCCGTCGAGCGTGTAGTACATGGTCGCGTTCGGCGTCACACTTGTCATCGTCACCTCGACATCGCCCAGGTACGTCCCTGATACTGGAAGCATTCGCGGCGGTGACGCCTTGTGGAACCGTTCAGCGAGCCGAATCGCCTCCATCGTCTCCAGTCCAGCGTCGAGCTCTTCCCGTGCATCGGCCACCGTGGCCGCCAACTGAACGTTGCCCAGCAGCTTAATCCAGGATACAGACAGCTGGTGCGGTGAGAGACCCCGCCGTGAAAACGGAAGCGGCGGAGCAGTGTCAGAGTCGAGTAGCTGCCGGCCCAGCGCTGTCCGCTGCGACGCGAGTTCATCAGCAACCGACTTGAAGACCGGCACACCCCACGAGGCATGCGTCTGGCTCAGCCACGCCGAGAGAATGCTGCGTCCGGCAGCCGACGAGACAAACGCCAGAAAGTCAACCGCGCCGGCCACATTGGTAGCGCTTCGCGGAGCAGCCAAGTAGACCGAGGTCGACGGTGCGCTGTGCATGTCCGCCGCGCCGCGCCCCGACCCAATGGGGCCGTCGTAAACAGGAAAGGCAAACGAAGCGAGGTCGTCGGCAGACTCGTCCCGACTCATCATGCTGGCAAACATGTCGACGCCGCACGAGATGACAGACGAATTGCTGAGGACGCCACGCGAGTGCGGCAGCTTGCGCCCAGCCGGTGTGTCCGACGCCACGTAGTAGCCAGCCTCATGGAGCCAGATGATTTCTTCCATCACTGACCGGACCGGCCCGTCCACAAACGAGACGTCGCCGAGGAGGAATGCGCTGTAAGCTTTGTGACCGTACATGCGGATGAAGAGTAAGTCAAAGAGCGCCGACGCACCCTCAATCCCCACGTCAACCGCGAGGCACATCCGCCCGGCAGCTTTGGCCTTGGCACACAACGCGAGCAAGGCTGTCCAATGGCTAGGCACAGTCACGCCGAGCGCAGCAAACATCGACTTGCGGTAGGTGCAAACGCCTGCAAGGGCAAGCGCCGGCACGCCGTACCTGTGGTCACCACCCGCCGCCAGAGTCCGTTTGAGCACAGCGAGTACAGCATCTTCCAGATCGTTACGCTGCCATACCTCATCAAGCGGGACCATATACGCTCCGGTCAGCAGTGTCTCGCCATGACTTGGGTACGTGAGAATGACGTCCATGCCACCAAGGACCCAGGGAAGGGACTCCTCGAAACTGTCAGGAAGGGGGTACAGGACGAGCTCAGCACTCGTGTTGCCTGCAGCATATGCATTGTACGCCGCAATCCATTGTTGAAGTAGCGAGATGTGCGGCGAAGAGCCCTGATAGTAGGCAGCAATGCGGACGCGTGGCTGGACAGCGTCGCTTGCCGGCCATTCGGCCGCTTCGGTCACCGGCCCATTCGAGCGAGAGTCCACCACCGCCAGAGCGAGGACAAGTACCACCACAACGACCAGACTCGGCAGAGTCCGCGACCACACACATATCCAGCCCATGGTACTTTCAGCTTATTTCTCCCTTCGCTCAACCGTCCTCCCCAAGCCTTGCCGTAGCCTCGCTCCGGTGGCCACTTGCTACCGCACTCGGTCACTCGGCCACACAGTTCAGTTCACCCGGCGAGGGAAACACGCACAAGCAAGCAGAGTCGAGTGCCACACTCTGACCGCAGAGCTGTCGAGGCGAATTTGGAGCGAAAGAGCGGGAGAAAATGGTGCCGCTACTGACACGGCAACTGTCACCGCGGTAGCCACAGACACTGCCAAGGACCACGGGAACGGCAGATGGTATGTGACTGGCTTGTTGTGTGGAGGAGGGACTTTGGTCTTCGCACCACTCTCAGGACGAAGCGTGTGCTTGAGAGTGAGATGGGCTCAATGCTGGTGGTGTGTGGTAGGGGCCAGCTCGCTGACCGGACAATCGTTCATGCCGGGACATAGCAAGCGTTTGTTGCCAAACTTCACGAAAACCTGCCGCGCGCGCATTGTCCGGGGATCTGCACTGCTTGCAACAACCGCAGTTTGACTAGCGCTAGTGTTCATTCGCGTCTCACGCGGGATCCTGACATTACTTAGGAGACGGTCGTCTCGGGCAGAAGCTTTTGCCGCTTGGCCGGCGGCTGGTCGACGGGCGGCGCGAGGTTTGACGGTGGCGCGGCGGGCGCCGGCGCCGGCTCGTGCTGGCGTTTGTGCGAGGTCAGCGCATCGGCAAAGGCCTGCGACGGCGGCGGTGGCGCGGCGGCGACAACGAACCACGGATTGGCGGCGGCGGCGACGACGGCGGCTTCTTTCTTGGCGGCAGCCGTGGCGGCCCGGCCCTTGGCCTTGCCTGCAGGCGCGGCGGCGGCTGGGACGTCTTTGACCGAACGAGGCGTCCGGCGCGAGACCACGGCTGCCGACGACGCGGCCGGAAAGCGGGCGTGGAGGCCGGTGAGCGCCGCCTGTGCATGGGCCACGTGCTCCGAGCGCATCGTCCGCAGCATGCGCTCGTCCGTGACGCGCTCGGGGAATGCTGGCGTCTGGATGTACGTTCTCGGCTCAGGCAGCGGCGGGAGATGAGCGGCAATGTACGCCTTACCGGCGTGCTTGCCGCCAGGCATGCCCGATGCACTCCCTGATCGCGAGTAGCCCATGGCCCGGGCAGCAATAGCCTCTGACGACGAGGCAGTCTCGTCCGAGCGCGGAGCCGGGATGGGCAGTAGAACATGCGGCAGCGGCTTGGCCTCTGCCACCGCCGCGTACACCCTCAGCTCCCTCACCGAGCTTCCCAGCATGCCCAGCACAGCCTGCACCACATCATCGGCATTGGCATCCGTCCGTCCTGCATGCTCTGCCGCCTCGTGGCTCTTCTTGGACGCCACAAACATGACTGCGGTGGCGGGGTGGGGGAGGTGGAGGGGGGGGAACGTACAGCGTGCAAGGGCAGAGGTAAAGACATTGACTGCGGTGGCGTCCATGCCCTGGAAGGCTTCGTAGTTGGCCACCAGCTGGGCAACTGCTCGCTTGAGCATATCAAAGCAAAACTCAGAGGCACTCACTCGGCCTCCATGTCCATGACTCACAGAGCTAGGGTTCGTGCCCAACCCCGTGCTGCTGCTGCTGCTGCCACTGTTGCCAATACCTGCACTGCTGCCTCCTCCGTTCATGCTCCTACCAACAGTGGCGATAGCGGAGTCGAGTGTGCCGACCGCCAGCCACCCTCCCCTCCCTCCCCCCCCCCCCTCCCCTCTCTCATTCCATGCCTTTACAACTTACGCGCCGAGCAGCCGCTGGACAGCCGCGTCGACGTTGCCGCCGGTCATGACTAGGGCGCGGAGATTGGCGTCGTAGTCGGTAAAGCCCATCTCGGCGAGCGCAGCAAGCTGGTCGGCGTACCGCAGCGCGGCAGCCTCCTCCTGCGCTTGAAGCGAGCCGCCGCCGGCACCGGCACCGGCACCAGCTCCCGCGCCTGCGCCGCCAAAGCCCGGCATGCCGCTCCCGCCGGTGCCCGCCATCGCCGCCATCATTGAAGACAGCATCTCAGGATTCTGCAGCATCTGCGCTGCCATCGGGTTGTTGGCTAGCATGGGGTGATTCTGCATCATCGCCGCCATCAGCTCCGGGTTCTGCGCCATCGCCGCCATAGTCTGCGCCATCATCGGGCTCTGCATCATGCTTGCCAGGTCCGGCATGCCGCCCGCACCGCCCATGCCGCCAAAGGCCGAGCTTGGCGGCACACCGCCGGTCCCGGCCCCGGTCCCGGCTGCTGGCGCCGCCCACGGGTTCGGGAGCGGCGTGGTATTCGGGCCCGAGCCCGAGCCAGCCTGCTCGCCACCTCCCGCTGCGTCAGTGCCTCCTGTCCCGGTTCCAGTTCCGCCGGTCGCGCCCTGCGCCATCCCGGTCATCGCCTCCTGCATCGGCGCGCCGATGTTCTCGTATGCTGAGCGGAGGGCGTCAAAGCCACCGGGCTGTGCCTGTATGTTCGCCATGGCCACATCGTTGTTGCGCATCATCTCTGCCAGCGCCTCCGGGTTCCGCATCATCTCCAGGCTCTGCCGAATCGTTGCCGGATCGTTGAGCGCCGCCGCAAGCTCCGGGTTGCCGTCGATGAGCGACTGCATCATCGGGTTGGCTGACATCATGCTCTGCAGCATCTCCGGGTTATCCAACAGCGCCTGCATCATCGGCGACTGCATCATCCGCTCCATTTGCGCCGGGTCCTGCAGCAGCGCCGCCACGTTGGGCACGCCGCCAGCCGCACCTCCGCCCATCATCGCCGCAAACGGGTTGGCTCCGCCGCCGCCAGCTGCGCCACCACCAGCCGCGCCCCACGGGTTAAACCCACCTCCGCCAACTCCCGCCGACGGCGGCGGCGCTCCGCCCGCCGTGTCCATCGGCGCGGTGCCTGTCGTCGCGGGCGCAGTTGCTGCAGCCGCCGGTGCAGCAGGCGCAGCACCCGCAGCTGTCTTGGCCGCACCCTTAACGAGATGGATCGTGTTGCCATCCTTGATGCCTGTCATGCCGCCCGCCCGGTTGGTCCTCGACCGGCGCCGGTGAGTCTTTGGCCAAAAGTGCGACCTCTTTCTGAAGCCTGGCAAAATGATCACAGTCGCAAGCGATTCATAGCTCGCGAGGCCACCGAGAGAAAGGGAACGGGGCCGAGTGGTGGGTACCAGCTGGTGATCACGATGGACTATGGTTCTGGTGCCAATGATTAGGGGGGGGGGGGCTGGGAGTGGTGGTGTTCCACTGTGTTCGGTGGCGGTGGCGGTAGCGATCGATCGTTGCCGAGTGTGCTGGGCATGGCATAGGAAGGCAAGGAAGCGAGCGTGGCTTGGTAGGATGAGGGGAGGGGGGAGGGAGGGAGGAAGGCGGGACACACAACGAGACCAACATGACTCGCGCCATGATCACGCTCGTATGCCTGCCGTCTGCCGCCTGCCCGAAACAAAACAGCGGCGGCCACGTGCGGGCAGCCGAAGGCGGCGGCGACCTGTGGCCGGTGGGTGGCGACCTTTGACGTACCATACGACTCGACCGTCCGGTCGTCCTTCATGACGTGACCGGCAAAGATGACCCGCTGCTGGTCCTGCGGGATGCTGGTGACGGTGGAGATACGGGTCTTGAGCTCGGCAATGGTCTCGCTCTCCTCCGCGTCCACGCTGTACACTTCGCCGCGAATGGTCTTGATAGAGACCTTCATTTCGTCGAGTTGGCGACAAGAGTGCCAGCTTCCCACCGTCTCGCTGTCACCGACCTCTCTGCCCACCGGCGCTGCTCCCGCCTCATCCCATGGAAAAACTGTCGTCGTGGTCACCCGATGGTGAGCCAACGGCAGAGGGAGAGACACCCGGGAGAGTGAGCGAGTGCTCCGGCACGAGCACGGCCTGCCGTTCGATCTCGAATCGGATCGGGAGCTGATGGCCGCTGACAAGCGACGTCGAGACCGGCGGCTGGACCGCGGTGTGGACAAAGATTGAGGCCGACTCGCGGACGTCGCGCCGGACGAGACAATAGGTCACGTTCTGCGGGAGGAGGACAGAGTCGGACCGCGCAAGGCTGGTGTGCGACTGGCTGTAGTCAGCCCCGTCGCCGTCTTCAGTGTCAGATCCCGAGTCGGAGCCGGGGTGCGCCGACGCCGACGCCGGCACAGCCTTGGGCACAGTCTTGGGAACAGCCTTGGGCGCTGACGCCGGCGCTGGCGCTGGCGCTGGCGCTGGTCGCACCTGCCCTGATGCAGTCTTGAATTTGTGCTTCCGCATCGAGCCTTGTGGTGAGAAAATCCGCAGCTCGATGGCGTTACCCGAGGCCGAGCCGGCGTCGTCGGCGTCGCCCGAGCCGGCGCCGGACATCTCCGACGCCACCGACGACGATGACGAGATTTTTGGCAGCGACGACTCGACAATGGGTGCCACTTTCCGGTTGGTCTTGCCTAACCGCCATCGCGGGCCCGAGCCACCGCCTGGCACCTCATCGTCGGCCTCGGACTCGACCGAGCCAGACTCTAGCTCTCCGCCCTCGCCTGCTGCCACCGGCGGCAGGTTCATCGGCCCGGGGACCGGCGGGCGCTCCAGCGCCGCGTGGACCGGTCGCGGAGCGGCTCCGCTTCGCTCTACACTACTTGAACTTGCCACGCCAGCATCAAACTTCGCTTGCTCCTCGCGGGTCATGTACGTCACCGGTCCGCCGGCCGTGAGCTGAACAGGAATCAGTTCCTTGTTCGCCGCGCCGCCGTCGCCGGCATTCGTGTTGGCTGTGGCAACGGGCCCGACTTTGTCTTGACCACGTCTACGCCCGCGCCCCCGCCCGGTCTTGGCGCCCGGTGAGCCATGAGCACCAACGCTGCGCTGTCCCGACCCGCGCTTGCCCGACCCCCGCTTCGCTGATCCACGCCGACGACTTGGTGAGCTCTTGGCAGGGCTGCCACGGCCACGTCCGCGCCCACGGCCACGACTACGCTTGCGAGTGCCGCGCCCCCGCGGCGAGCGGCCCCGCGTGGGGGCAAGCGGCGAGTGTGAGCGAGTGCCGGGCGCTGCAGTGGCGGGCGGCGCCTGGTGGTGGGGCGAGGTTGGGCTCGGTGGCGAGCGGCCGTTGGGTACAGGCGAGCCGGCGTTCATGGGCCCGATTTCCACCACAGAGAGCGGTTCGAACAGGTTGCCGGCAGCAGCATCTTCCGCCACACTGTAGGTAAGCCGCGAGTGAAAGGTAAACATCATATGCCCCGAGACGTGGACCGAGTCGACGTACATCTGCATGACCGACTCGCCGCCGATGCGGACAAGCAGGTCGTTCTGGAGCTCGACCAGCGGCTCGAGCCGAACATCGCCGTCGTGGCGCGCGAGGAGCTGGAGGAGAGTGTGCGAGATGGCAACAATCCATGATGTCCCGCGCCACATGAACGGATGCGGCGCGTGGCCGAGTCCCTGCTGCCAGGCGCGGACCGCCGTCATGGCGGCCTTGACCCGCTTGGCGATCTGCTCCAGCCGCCGGGTCGATTCGTCGCCACCGGAGAGTCCCTTGAGCGCTTTGTCCACCCGCGCAATTGCCTTGGCTGTCTCGAGCGTCCGCGCCCGGTGGGCCTCGAGCAGCGACACCATTAGCCGCGCGCCAATGGCAGCGGCTCCGGACTGCCTACCAATCTTGCCCTTGGCCGCCCACGCCGCCCGGTAGTACTCGCGCTCCGGCTGCGGGACGTGCAGCGCGGTCCAGAGCTTCTCAACTTGCACCAGCGCCTCATGCACAGACATGTCTCGGTGCGGCAGTGGCTGGCTGTCCGACGCCACATGCGCCTCGCCGTCCATAAACGTCATGCGCGACGGCGTCATCGGCACCACCGGCGACTGTGGCGAAATCCGATTAAATGTCCCGTGCGTGTCGCTTGCGCCGGCCACATCGACCGGCGACGAGAACGGGTTGTAGGAGATAGCCAAAGACGAGGATGTGGCTGAGGTTGAGGACGAGGAAGAGGCTGAGGATCTTGACGACGAGTACGATGATGACGACGACGACGACGAGTACGACTCGAACGAGGCCTCATCCGACGATACCCCTGAAGAGTGCACAAGCTGCGCACCAGTCATGGCGTCAAACTTGGGCGTCTCGTTGCCTACCGGTGAGTGCAAGCTGCCGGCGATCACGCCTGGCGATCCGGGCGTTGTCTCACCGTTGCCATCACCGACGACACCTGACAGGGGCATCTTGCCCTTTCCTTCTTGCCCTTGCCCTTGCCCTTCTTGCCCTTTCTTTTGCCTTTCTTCTTGCCCTTGCCCTTGCCCTTGCCCTTGCCCTTGCCCTTGCCCTTGCCCTTGCCCTTGCCTTTGCCCTTGCCTTTGCCCTTGCCTTTGCCCTTGCCTTTGCCCTTGCCTTTGCCCTTGCCTTTGCCCTTTTTCAGCAGATCGGCGAGACTGTCCTCGTGGGCAGTCTTGAGCAGGAGACGCGCCTCTGAGAGCGAGCGCGAGAGCGAGATCCCAAGGTGCGAGTTTGAGTCGGAGAGCGAGGACGACGACCGCGGCGGATCTGACAGCTTACGGTTGCCCTTTCTCGACAGCAGCTTAGGGTCCATGCTTGACTTTGCTTTGTCCTTCTCACGCAGGGAGAGCTTTCGGATGACGACCGAGCCGTGTGAGACCGGTTCAACCGAGTCGATGGACTTGTCAGAGATCCTCCCATCGGTCGAGTCTCTCAGCGACGACCTTCTGCGGATGATGACCGATCCCGTCGACGGCGATCTGGCGGACTCTTCACCCGACGCTGCGCGCGAGCGGACACTCTGCTCTCTGGCCCTCGCCACTGCCGCCTGTCTGGCCTGCCCAACATCGATGGAGAGTAACGGATGGACCGGAGCCGATGTGTTCATGTTGTTGACCGCCGAGCCGGCCTCTGACGAGCCTGGACTCATTGTTGCTCCCTGCCCAGAACGCTGTTCCGTATGCTGTCGCTCAACCCCACCATCTGCTCCGACCATCTCCTGGCTCCCTTCTCTTGTGTGCCCATTGCCAGCGGAGGCCCGAGTGGCCCACTCGGCAGAACCCTCCGAGGCAGTCCGTACGGGAGCTGTGGGAGAGTCACGCGAACGAGCCCCATGACTACGAGACATACCGTATAAGGCACTCTCCCACCTCCTCTACACCCTCAACTACCTATGTGTGTGTGCGGGAGTGAGGTGGTAGTGGTGCCAGAAGCCAGAATCCCCCCGCCCCCCCCTTCCCTCTCCCCCCCCACTCCCTCGCTCCCACCCAGAGCTAACAACCTACCGCCATCATTGTACAATATCCCGCCACCACAATCCATCGCACCCTCCTTTGTACCCCCATCGCCCGCATACCCCCCCCCCCCCCCCCGCCTCCCTCCCCTCCCCCCCAATCCCTCTCACCTGTGCAAACACCAAGCCATGCACTGTGGCATGCATGCCCCACATTATGCTGGCCAGCCACCCGGCAGGTACCCCAACCAACTCACTCTGTCCATTCGGCGCCAAACAGACACAGGTCTGCCACCCCCCCCCCCCCCCCC